ATGGGTAGTAGAAGAGGAGGAGCCAATGTTGCACAAGAGAGCATTCCTTGAGGCTATCGGTGAGGAAGATCTTGAAGAAGGTGATGAGCAGCATGAAAGAGGAAGCAGTCAGCCAACGTATTCACAATTCGTCGGAGATGTCGGTGATATTGCACCTAATGAGGGAGAGTGGGAAGGGGGTCTAAGGGAAAATGAGAGAGATGATGATTCCGAGGCCACCCTATCCCAGCTATATTATTCACATATCGAGTCCCAACAGCAACAGGATAGGAATGAGCACGACAGTGTAGGTGAGCATGGAAGATGAACAAGCTTCAGAGATTTTGGATTGGGAACACAACAGAACACTCAGGGATTTGGATATAGTCAGACGCCTGCTAATATCGATGATTCGTTTTTAGATCAAATGAATGAATTGTCAAACGAATTCAATCAATGGCACCAGTGTGACCAAGAAGAAGAACGACGTCGTCTGGCATTTTATTTTTAGATCGTATGTTACTAATTATATGTTTTATTGTAGTCCATGTATGTTGATATACTTATTCCATGATAATTCTATGTTTATCCTTTTGTGTGACGTAAATTAAATGGTGAATAGTAGTTCATACAGGGAAAGAACATATCAATATTCGCATATTCATGCAAAGAAATGAAAATTCTTAATGGAGTACCCTCATTTTTTATTGAATTCCTAAAAAACAATATTTGTAATGAATTTTAAGAATTTTTCGGATTTTTTTTGAAGCTTTAATCTGACAGATTCACCCGATTCCCAATCCGAATCGCCGATTCGTCGATCCAGATCGGTTTTTTAGGTGCCCGATCGGGGTCACAGATCCGCTTTTTAAACCATTGGGGTACATCAAATGTGGACCTGGCGTTTGAGAGAAGCAACAAGTTTGGTGACAAGTTTAGTAAGTATGTTGATTCTGACTTTGCATTTGGATTGTAGAATATATACTAGAGGTTATATGTTTACACTTGCAGAAACTCCAATCAGTTAGAGGTCAATGCTACAAATTGTAGTTGCATTGCCTATGACTAAAGCAGCATACATGCTTATTCGCGAGGCCGTGAAAGAAGCTATATGGCTTAAAGGGCTTGTGAGTGGTTTGGACTTACAACAAGATAAGACTATTGGTTATTGTTATAGTTAGAGCACGATACATCTGGCGACGAATTAGGTATATCTTGTAAGGATAAAACATCTTGATGTTACGTACCATTTTATCCGTGAGATAATAGTTGAAGGTGATATCTTGTTACAGAAAATTAACACAAATTTTGTTGTCAATATATTGACAAAGCTGGTTCCATTATAGAAGTTCAAGTTACTTGGACTGGACTAGTGTATTACCAAGGTGAGCACTGGTGGGGTGCATGTGGAGAGCACAATCGAAATGAATCTCTTTTGAAATTCAAGCCAAGGTGGAGATTTGTAATTTGTTTTAATCCATATTATTAAGGGATTGTTTTCCTTTTATTATTGGGTCTCTTATTTTTTTGGGTGCTTCTTATTACTTAAGGATTACCATTAACTAACTTCTTATTATGTAGGAGTTAATGGGAGGATAGGATCCTAGTGGATTAGAATAGTGGGGCAAGTCCATATTTGATGAGATAATGTTAAGTATTCAAAAACAAAAGTGAGGAGGCCATAATGTGGGTGTCTTATGGGTTACTTTTCTCCATATTATATTATAGAGAAAATATCTTCATACCCCCTATTTTTAGGTTTTATTTCACAATAGAACCAATATTTTAAAAGATATCTTGGGGCATAAAAATTGTAGATTTTATTTTTTCTAACCCCTTGAGCTAATTTAAATTTGTTTTTTTAGGCCAAACAAATCTAAAAAGACATGAGCCATCCTCCCTTTCTAAACCTCTCGCCCTTCATGTTTTCTCTCTCCCCATCTGTCAAACCCATGTTTTCTCTCCCTATCAGCCAAATCCCTCTCCATATTTCCCCCATTTCTCTCCCCGTGTCTCTCACTCTCCCTCTTCTCGTGCTCCCCCAACACTTTCTCTCTCCCCGTGAGAGACAAATTGTAGAACCCAACAAATGATCAATTTGATAGAAAAATTGCATAACCCAATTTGATTGGGAACCCATCTGAAAGCTCCAATTTGACTGTGAACCCATCTTCCCCCAACTATTCCTCTCTCCCCATGATAGACAAATTGCAGAACCCAACCAATGATCAATTTGATAGACAAATTGCACAACACAATTTCACTGTTAACCCATCGAAAAGCTCTGATTTGACTGCCAACCTATCAGAAAACACTGAGGATGTATTTTGGGAACCTTTGAAAGCTTAAAGAATGGTTTTTGATAACCATATCTATAGTGGTTTCCGAAAATATTCACTGACGTCCATTGAAGCTTTGTGCTCCATCTTTGTTCTCCAAATAATTTTAAATGTTTATGTTGTAGAGAAAGAGTTGGGTGTGAAGAGAGAGTAGGAGATAGGGGGAGAGAAAAAGAATAGAAAATACGGAAAGAGAGAGGACAGTAAGAGAAAAAATAAGGGAAAATATAAGAGGAGAGAAAGAGAGAGTGGGGGGTTTGGGAGATTAGGAGAGAGATCGAGAAGATGGCACAGGAAGAGAGAGAGAGACATGGGGAGAGAAAAAGAATGGGGAATAGGGAGAGAGAGAGGACTAGGAGAGAAAAATACTTAAATATGGAAAGAGGGGGGTTTGAGAGATGGGGAGAGAGAACAGGAAGAGAGAAGGGTTTAGAAAAAAAAAGGCTTTTTTTAAGTTTGACGGGAGGAGAGAGAGTGAGAGACGTAGGAAGAGAGAGAAAGAGAGAAGCTTGAGGTATATAAGTGATGAGACAGAAAGGATTGGGTTTGGAAAGAGTATATCTTTCTCACATTTGTTTAAGTTAAAAAATAGGTTTAAAATGGCCTGAGGATTAGAATATATCTTTTCAAACTTTGGATTTATCAAGAAATGAAACCTAAAAATAAGGGATATGAAGATATTTTCTCTATATTAGAAAAAAGGATGGAAAATAGGAAGGGAACTTGGTTGTCAAGAGAGCGTTGTTAAGACGGAATGGCTTTGTGAGAGATGTTGCAGTACTAGAGATTCCACACTTGTACAAAATAAAAAATTTCAATTTACTTCCCAAATACTTACAAAAACCTTGGGGAAATCCCACAACTACAAAATAAAAAGATTACAAAGTACACTTATCTTCCAATAAACAACTTCCAATAATAACTTTACAATGAAGAGCTTTGCTCTATTATAACACTTCCAGTTCACAATATATTGAGAAGAACAAAAGGGAAAGGAAAATCAAATAGAACCAAATGTGCATGAGTTTGACACAGCCTTGGGAAGCCGATTTATTTCTTAATTACCGCATAATTAGCACAACGGTTTTGGTAATTATTATCACTCCCAAATGATAGCGCAAGGGTGATGACGCAGATCTAATCACAAGAATCAGAAATAAGATGCCACACTAACAAACATGGGCCAAATGAACCTCACGTGGGATATATGACAATGAGAGGAACAAGTGAGAGAAAACTGGTTAAAACCAGACACAAAAGGTATTAGTCTTAATACATGGGTCATCTATTATGGCCTTCTACTAACGATGGGGCATAGGAAAGTCCAACATAAGGCCCTAAATAATATTTATAACTTATAATTATGGCTTACGGAAATCAGATTTACAACAAAGGATAGGCTCTTAATAAATCTAAAAAACATGTTCCTAAACTATGCCAAAATACATACCATTGCATTGAACAACCAACACAATTGCATTGGACATCACAACACAAGATGGGATCAAGATGCCCCCATTTAAACTTCAAAAACACACCTAGAGCTCATTGTTATAGATGAAGAGGCTCAGAATTTCAGCAACATAAGTCCATAACAGTTTTAGAAAATATGCCTGAAACTACACCTCAAGATATATATCATAAAAACCTTTTAAACGAAACAAGTAATGAGCTTGAAAGGAAATCAAATGAGGCAAGTGAGCTTACTATTATGACTAAATTACAGCAGCAAAACTTTCTTAAAAACAGTAGGTAGGATGCTTGGAGAAGTTCGTGATGGGGCTCAACGGCCATGCTTTCAAGATGGGATCAATAGTATACCTTATCTCACATTAAGGGGAGGCTCAAGATACAACTTCAAGAGGAAATGAGAAAGATAGATGAGACTGCGGTGTGGCCCTCTTGAAGAAAATTGCAATTGATCAACATGAGAGAAAATAATAAAGAAGCAAGTGTGAAATGCGTTGGGATAGGTCCTATTTATAGAGGTTTCATGTGTGGAGTTTAACCTAGATTAAAAATTGGCCATCCAATGAGTGATCAAAGGGATAAGAGAGGCTAATGACCTAGCCTTATCGATCATCATTAGTAGCTATCATATGACTGATGATAATCATACACTCCCTTTTCACCATGCCCATAAGACACCTCCATATTTCCCACAATTATAAAAGTTTCATCAAATCCCTAATTTTGTTTTAAGTAATTCATAACCATCCATTTTGAAAAAATTTAATCACCACCATCAAAATCAAAGTTCAAAAAGCATATTCCTATAAGGGGGCATGCCACCCTCTCACTCCATCCTTTTTGCGAGATCTTGTACTCCACATCATCTTTTATGAAGTGTCACTTTCATGGGGAACATTACATCATCGTCATGATGTGTCCCCTTATCTTCTCACAACCAATCAAATGCTCTCATTTATAAACATCAATTCACCACCAATCACATAATTTCAAATAAATAAGTTTTGGAAATTTAAAATCCTATACTCATGCACGAATATGAATACATGCCACCACACATGTGCCCTAGACATTTGACACAAAATGGCATATATCAACTATATGCTCACTATCCAAACAAAGGCATCACATTAAAGACCTAGGGCCATCCACGTCATGCCCATAGGGAAATGACATGGCAGTCCAATAGTTGCACGTGTGGTACAAATTGGTCATTTGTGTGATACACATCGCAAATGCGAACAATCCTTATTTTGGTATTACCATATAACAAATTTAATAAATCACTTTTCCTTGAAATAAAATTTTCATAAATGCTCTAAAAATATGAACACAATTTTAATAATTTTCCATCAAAATGACACATTTTGACACATCAGATAAATCCAATTAGAAATATAAGATCTTACAAGAGGTGAGACTACATGGTACTCCATTGGGCCATACCTGGAAACCTGGACTACTTTCTCATATCATCTCAACAAGGCTCCATGAGTTATAAACTTAAGTCAGGACATGAGTGGACTTATCAATGTTAATCGATAGGTGGTCAGACTCTTGAGTGTACAGTGGATTACAGGTGCTCCCCCGAGGACATGCACTCTTACAGATGTGGAGGTCCACTCTCAGCACGTGTGTACAATTCTAATAGGTGGATCTTACCTTATCACAATGGCTTTTTAAATTATGACTATCCCATACACACATGCAAGGGATTTGGGCTTACATCCTCTCAAAGCCCATCTTTGCTCACACAAGGCTTCATATACATAGAAAACATCTCAAACATACCGGGATCCACTAATCCCCAAGCCCTAGCTCAACTCATATAAGGCACTCATATACCGACCTTGATTAACAAGAACCCTCAAACCTCTCGGTTCAAAACACGGCCCAAGAACCTCGCCTCATGTAATCAAGGTTATTCAGACCTATTCGGTTCCCAGTTTGCAAAAAGTTTGGAAGCCTCAGTGTTCCTGGTCGCTCCCACTGTATCCCAGAACCATGCTGGCAAAAACATAAGGCCTTAAAAGGCCATAATTCCAACATTCTCCTACTTGCCCTTTTGAGGCCTTGGAATAAGTAAATACAAGCAACACTTTGCTCTTCATATACATACACTAGAAACACTAAGATCCAAAAGCCAGCAATATTATGCTCTCACTATTCACATATAAGCAACACCATGCTCTCGAGCAATACTATGCTCCCGGGCAACACTATGCCCTTTATACTCATGGATGTCCACATAAATAAAGCAGATGTTAATACCACATTAACTCTCCCAATTATCATATACTCTCAATGTCATGTCAAGTACATGCCCATTAAAAAACATCAGGTCCCAATCCTTTCTCATGGGGTCTGTATGCATAGCCTCCGTGGGTATATAAGCCAAATCAACCTCACTATCTTCTATATGCCCTTGGATATGATAGAATTTATCTCTCACGTGTTTTGACTTCTTGTGAAACCTGGCATCTTTGGCTACTGCAATTGCTACCTAATTAGCATACACAATTTTAACGGTTTCACATGCTAATGGCCCCATATTTGATATGGTTGAGAAATTTATTATCTCCTTTAATAGCCAGAGCGGCTGCCACATATTATGAATCCATTAACTATATTTTGTTTCGTACACGATACTGCTCCTCCTCCACACATTAAAAAATATTCAGAGGCATATTTTTATTCATCCAAATCACCCTAGTAATCAGTATATCAAAGTGCAAGCAGATCTATGGCATCTCCATACATGACAATTATCCAATATTCTATCTTTGGGTTACCCTGAAATCTATCAATCATACTTTGGGTAAATGCCAAATCTAGCATGTTTCTTTAGGTAAGTTATATACCACAACACGTATGTTGCGCACTCTTTTCCATATATGCTCTTTCCTCATCATCTTTGGGACACGTTCTAGTTTGACTCTCCTATCTACTGTTACTATTTAATCATCTAAATTTTTTTTAATACTTTCGTGCAATATAACATATGAAGCAATCTAGCTGATCTATTTATGATAATATTGGTTCCTAGTAAGTTACTGGCAATATTGACCCCATATAGTTTTAAGAATACTATATCACTCCCACTGACTTTAATATATATATACAACAATCATCCTCATAGGGCTTAAAATTGTGTTTGGTCAGTACATCATGGAATTTCATAGACCACCCTCTCAAAGGTAGTTTTGAAACAGAGAGGGACTTAAAGAGTCTAAATATCTATCAGGTTGTCACAAATTAATTTCCTCCTCTAATTCTTCATCAAGGTTGTCTTGATATCCATCTAATGGAGCTTAAAATATAAATGGGTGATGATAGAGAGCATTATCCTAATGGATAGAAGTTTTGCAATAGGTAATGATGTGTCTAAGTAGTTTATGTCTTCCTTCTGAGTTAACCCTCTGGTTATTAGGCTAGCCTTATGTTTTTCAAGTTGTTACTGAAAATTTCATTTAAACAGGTAAATGACTTAGGTGGTCAAGTACTTTGCCTGAGCTGGGCTACAAGCAAGGCCGGAGGTTTAGAAATCAGCTTTCCCATGGATCACTCTACCTTTGAGGAACTCTACCTCAAGAAAATGTGCATATGAAATCTCAACGATCATCCCACTAGACAAGTCATAAATACATTATAAAATGTGCATATAGAATGTTGTTTTAACGTTAAATAAGCCCTCTAATCAATCATCTCGACATCGAGATCTATGAATATGAAAAAAAAAAAAGTTTATAAATATCGAAAATAGTGCATCTTGAAGCACATTATCCTCTATTTTCAAGATTTTCATATATTTATAGATCTACTTGATTTTAACCATTTTTGGAATTTAAAATTTTCTAATTATGAATGAAAATAGATTTTAAGATAATACTAAGAATTTTTTACAACAAAATTACATGTTATGATAAAATTTTAAGGTGCGCCTTAATTGGATTGTTTAAGGTTATATATATATATACATATATATATATATATATGAAGATACTACAAAATGCCTATAGGTGAAAATGAACAGTAATTTCTCCTACTCTCATCATCGTTCAAAGTTCATCACACAGTCACGATTGTCTGATAGTATTTCATTTTTCATTTTTTATCTACAAATCGGAATGACCTGAAATTTGCACGTGTATTCATAAAAAATAGCCAAATCTACGAAAAATATCAAAAAAATATTTACATAAAAATTGACCAAATACCCCTAAAAGTTCGGGGTATTTGGTCAATTAATTATTATTATTTTTTTCCAATTTTATTAGGTACGCATCACTAAGATGTATACGTGCTTCAAATTTCAGGTGATTCCAATTAGTAGAAAAAAAATGAAAAATGAAAGACTACCAGACAATCGTGATCGTACGATGAATTTTGGATGGTGATGAGAGTAGACGAAATCACTTTTTATTTTCGCCTAAAAGCATTGGGAAT